AGTCTGGGAAAACACGCGAATCACCGTGTGCTTTTTAATTATGCTTTCCTGGGTAATTGCAAAAGTTCTTCTTTTAAAAAAATGCTTGGGGCAAGTGGGTTAGTTTCCAAACAGCATTAGTCATAGAAATGAATTCTTCATACTGTGGATTAGGAGGAATGAGTCTATTAATAAAGTACTGTGTAGCTGACTCCAGGTCGAAGCAAAGGGTATGGGGCTGAGGAGGTGATGCTGAACTCGAATAAACCATCACCTCTGCCAAGCTCAAGCAGAGATTAGATGCAGATCTAAGTGGCAGTCAACATACCCATTTCCATACTACATTATGTTTCCCAAAGGCCTGCTTACCATAAAAGCAACAGAGACAGCTCTGCAGATGACTTTTGGGAACGCCGTCTGAACACTTAAAAGCAACCCATTTCCATAACATGGTGACCTAGTCCACAGTGGACTGAGCACTTGTGCCAGAAATGATCTGTAGAGATGCAAGTAGCTTTAGAGTAAACGTCCAAGACCTCTCCTATCTGTTGTTGTTGTTCAGTCGCACAGTCGAGTCCGACTCTTCGCGACCCCCTGGACCAGATCCCGCCAGGCCCTCCTGTCTTCCGCCGTCCTCTGAAGTTGGCTCAATTTCATGTTCGTTGCATTGATGACACTGTCTAACCATCTCATCCTTTGCCGTCCCCGTCTTCTTTGACCTTCAATCTTTCCCAGCATCAGGGTCTTCTCCAGTGAGTGCTCCCTTCTCATTTGGTGGCCAAAGTATTTGAGCTTCAGTTTCATTATCTGGCCTTCCAGGGAACAGTCAGGGTTGATTTCTTTTACGATTGACTGATTCGATCTCCTTGCAGTCCAAGGGACTGCAGTCCAAGGGGAGTCTTCTCCAGCACCATAGTTCAAAAGAATCTATTCTTCGGCGCTCGACCTTCCTTATAGTCCAACTCTCGCAGCCATACATGACTACTGGGAATACCATTGCTTTGACCATGCGGACTTTTGTTGGCAGAGTGATGTCTCTACTTTTTATCATGCTGTTTAGGTTCGCCATCGCTTTCCTCCCAAGGAGCAGGCGTCTTTTAATTTCATGGCTGCAGTCACAGTCTGCGGTGATCTGGGATCCCAGGAACGTGAAGTCTTTCCCTTTTAATTTAGACTCCGCATTCCATCTGAAGCATATTTGGTCTTCAGCTGGTGTTGTGTTTTGTTTATTTTGCAAGGTCATAGTTTTCTGGGGGACGTGGGAAGCCCCCAAAGTAGGTCAAGACCCCTATCTTTGGGCAGCTGCGATGAGGCTCTTGTCAGGCACAAAGAGGCCAACCAGTTTGCTATTAGATCAGAGCTCCAGAAATCCCAGGGTGTTGTGGTCTCTAGTAATTCCATTGTGGCATCTGGGACTTTGAGCAGTCTTTTTTTGTGTGTGTAACAATGTCTTTTGTGTATAAGGTGCCATGTCCCTATAGGATTTTCAAGGCAAAAGACGGTCAGAGGTGGTTTACCATTGCCTCTCTCTGCGTAGCAGTGCTGCAATTCCTTAGTGGTCTCCCATCCAAATACTAAGGAGAATCAGCCCTGCACGGCTTCCGAGATCTGATGAAATAGAGGATGGTTTGGCGATTCAGGGCTAACTGGATCTAATCTAAATAGAAGTACAAAGCTTATTTAGGTGAGGGAGAGAGGTTAGTTTTTCGTTGTGATAACAACCAGGGTTGTTTTATGCTACAACACTAATTTATATGCTACAATTTATATGCTACAACACTAATAGCTTTTATTAAAAAAAAAAGACACGAAACTGTGACGAATTAGGTTTTGTGGTAGCAATCGTTAGAAAGCCCAGCCATTAAGGTATAAATTCTGAAGACTGAAAAAGTATGTCTAGCTCCTAAATTTTCGGGCTGGCTTGCCAAGCCAAAGAAAATCTGTCAGGACCAAGATTTAAGGACGATCGGTTCAGTTGCCAGCACTGAGTACCCAGACTACTGGTCACACAGAAAGGCAGATGAAGAGTACTTTATTCAGTAAGTGCATACCTAGAGATGAGGTTGCTCATTAAGAATTCCATGCTCAAAACTTTTCCCCTGAACAAATTCCCCTTTCCGTTCTTTCCAGCCAGGCAAAGATTAAAAAAAGGCTGGATTTTGAGCAGCAGGTCTAAAATCGCTGCAAATGCAATTGTGCCTGTTCAGTTCAAGATCTGCCACAGTTGATTTCCCAATGTATTCATCAAGGAAATAAATGGGAAGAGAATAATATACCTCTTTCAGTGAGAGGGTTCTGAAGCAGGCCAGAGGAAACAATAGCTGCTTTTAATGCCTAAATAGACGCATCTCCTTCAGACAACAATCTCGTTGTCTTTGGCTGCCCAATGCATCATCATTTTAGTCCAGGGCTTCTGAATACTGCCGGGTTGCATTATAGATGTAAGCAGTGTTCCCTCTAAGCTGAGTTAGTGTGAGCTAGCTCACAGTTTTTTAGCCTCCGGCTCACACATTTTTGTCTCCGCTCATGAAGGATGGCTCCAGAGCAGGCTAATTTATGCAGTAGCCAAATCGCTTGCTCACAACTTTAATGCCAGTAGCTCACAGAGTAGAATTTTTGCTCACAAGACTCCACAGCTTAGAGGGAGCATTGGATGTAAGGGGTTACCTTTAAAAAAAAATCAAGGTGCTTCTCTTCTGCCAATTCACCTTCCTCGTTCGTCAACATTCTCTGCAACGAACTTATAGAAGAAGCAGCGTATGTGGGGAAAAGATTGAAAATGGGCATTTCAACAACTAATCTTAATCAACAAAATAATTCTTATAAAACCCTTTAAGGATCTAGCCAGGCGAAATCTCCCCAGAGGACAAGATGTGGCCATCCCGCTGCTTAGATTTTAAAAAAGCAACATCACGAATGTATTCTACGAAAAGTCAGTAAACTGATTGTACGTATTGATCTCCTCAAAAGGATTAAGAGCTGCAGATTAGCACAGTCGAGCCAAATCATCATCTGCTTAGGGTAGGACTTGACCTACTTAGCATCTTAATCTGCCAATAAAATTCTCCGATAGATAATGAAGGTGTGTGCTGACTTTTATTTTGAGCTCTGGGTTTCTGCAAAGTGGAGTCTGCAGTAAGCAGTCTGGCTAATATTTTAAGGCCATGAGAAATGCCTCCGTTTGTGTCTTGTGGGAGTAGTTCAGGCACGACGGCCCTATACAGTCGGATCATTGTTCCTTCGGAGATGCGTCGCAGCTTGCTAAGGGGTTTCGGGCAAAGGTCCTTCCCAGTCTTAGATCTCTGGAATCCTCTATGTGGAAATGCCAGGGATCGAACATGGAGCTTTCTCCTTGTGCTCTGCTTGGCCTCTGTGACCCAGAAAAATGCTGCAGCTAGGTTATTATTGGGAGAGAATGCATATCACTCTCATTCTGCAGTCGCTCTATTGGCTGCCCGTCAATTATGGGCTCAATTCAAGATATTAACAATCAGATACAAAACCCTTCATGGCCTTGGTCCCTCTTATCTGTGGGACTGCCTCTCTACCTATGCTCTTCCTGCAGAATTGATAGCCATCCTTACTCGTGCTTCCTGTGTTGTGGATCCCATCTTACGGAATGGCCTCCCTGAGGAGGTTAGGAATAGGGATGGGCAGAAACCAGGAAAAGGTCATTCAGTTCGGTTTGTGGCTGAACCATGAACCAAACTAGTTTGTGGTTCATGCCCCTGTAAACCCTGTTGAAAGGGACCACAGTCCCTTTCAATGGGGTTTGGAGGAAGCCCAAAGAACAGCTAAGCAGTGGGGAGCTGCTTCCTCCCCACCATTCAGCTGTTTCGGGCTGTCTCCCGCAGTCCCTTTAAAGGTTAAAGGGACTGCACAAGACAGCCCAAAACAGCAGCAGTAGGGAACGCCTCCCCAGCGCCCAGCTGTTTCTGTGGCTTCCACGGGGAACAGAAAGCAGAAGTTTGAAGGGACTCAGTGTCCCTTTATTATTTGTTTTTTTAATTTTTATTAAGTTTTTAAAATACATAAGAATCGGAGAAGGGGGAAGGGGAAAGGCCGGGGAGAGAACAAAAGTAATGATTTCCTGCATGTAACTTTCCTCTGCTTATCATTTCATGTTATACACCGAAAAGCTGTGAAGTTGAAAAGTTCATAAAAGCTTTTTTACTATTGCAATATTAAAAATGTCATATCTTTATATTTCTCTCTTACCCAATTATAAAACGAAGTCCAAGTCCAACAAAGTCTTCTTCCATTTGCGCTTTTTAGCATCAAGGTCAATCTGTCCATTTCCATACTTTCTGTAATCTTCGCTATTCATTCATGTTCAGAAGATGTTGAAGGGCTCTTTCTGCTCCATCTACGAACCGCCACAAACTGCTTTAAAAGGCCATGCAAGTTTGTGACAGTAGACGTGTTACAAACTTCTGTTTGCAAACCATGAACAGGGCAAAATTTGTGATGAATTTTGCTTCATCGTTTGGTTTGTGCCCATCCCTAGATAGGAGGGCTCCCATTTTCCTTTCTGCACACTGTGCAAAGCAGAACTATGTGAGAGGGCTTTTGCACAGGGAAATAGGACTTGCCTTGGTAAAGGCATAAGGACTGTGACTTGTTACTCTAAGTGTGCTCTAGACTAGGTAGTTTCTACACTGCTTAATGTATCATGTTGAAAACCTCATGCTTTGTTTTAGCTCTGTTAGAGATGTTTGTTTTTAGATTTCTGGATTGTATTGTTCATTGGATGTCCCATCCTGTTGACTGTACTTGACTTACACTGTGTAATTCACCTTGACTCTCAGTGAGAAAAGCAGACCTAATCGCAGTAATAATCCACATTTATGCGCCTGGGATTTGTTTTGTTCCTTCCTCTTTATTTGGTAATGCATCTGGCTGATTTACAACCTTAAATTTGCTGTATTCTTCCTGTGTAGTAATTCCCAAAACAACAGAGTCTTTGTCACTGAGTTTTAAATTTGTGACTTAATCGGTTCCTCTTGTGGATTGTTCCTAAGGTTATTACCGCACTGAGAGAGACAAAGGGACACAGTATGAGTTGTTCTACAAGAAGGCAGAGGATATGGAGTACAGGCATGTCACTCTCTTCCGGCCCTTTGGGCCCCTAATGAAGGTCAAGAGCGAAACTGTGGACATCTCCAGGTCCATGATCAACATTATTGTCCCCCTTGCTGGAAGGACAGAGGTTTTTGCCCAGTTCATGCAAAACTTCAGGTAAGTGCATTGGAAACCATGCCTAAAGCCATCGAGTGTAATTTTTCTACTGGAAGATAAGTAAGGTGTGTTTGGTGAAGTGGTTAAGTGCGCGGACTCTGATCTGGGAGAACCGGGTTTGATTCCCCACTCCTCCACTTGCACCTGCTGGATGACCTTGGGCAAGCCATAGTTCTGTCAGAGCTGTCCTTGAAAAAGAGCAGTTTCTGTCAGAGCTCTCTCAGCCCCGCCTACCTCACGGGGTGTCCGTTGTGGGGAGGGGAGGGGAAAGGAGTTTGTAAGCTGCTCTGAGACTCCCTTTGGGTAGTGAAGGGCGGGGTATAAATCCAATCTCCTCTTCTTCTTCTTCTAGTGTGCCATAAGATCCGGGCATGATTCAGAGAAATCAGAGACCACTGGCTTTTCCAACTCTTATGCAGAGTAGTGAGTTTGAGTTTAAAATGTGTAAGACATCATTGGTCTGTGCTGCATGCTAGAGTTCAGACCTTGTGGATTGTAATCCTTACTGTCCATTGGGTTAGTGAATTAGCATTTCCCCTTTCTTAACTGAGCTCAGCATGGAGCTGCGGTGGCTCAAGTGGTTAAGACGCTGAACTGCAGGCTGTGGAAGGTCAGTAGTTCAGCAGTTCGAGACCCGAGTGCGCCGCATGATGGAGTGAGCGCCCGTCTCTCGTTCCAGCTCCTGCCAACCTAGCAGTTCAAAAGCAAGACATTGCAAGTAGATAAATAGGTACCACTTCGGTTGGAAGGTAACAGCGTTCCGTGCACCTTGGTGTTTGGTCATGCCGGCCACATGACCACGGAAACGTCTTCGGACAGCGCTGGCTCTTCGGCTTTGAAACGGAGATGAGCACCGGAACCCTAGAGTCGGATTCGACTGGCTTTCGAGCAAGAGAACGTTTACCTTTACTTTCTTAACAGAGGGGTAGCCAAGAGACACCTAAATTGGAACTCTGCCATTCATTTAGAAGACACTTCACCCACTTATTGCTATAATTCAAGAAGGACGCCACACTAACCTCGTGATTAGTTTAGATCGGTTTCTGAGTTGGAACCCCTTCCCTATGAGAAAAGGTTGAAGAGTCTGGGACTTTTCAGTTGAGAAAAGCAATGACGGGGGGGGGGTCATGACAGGGGTTTATAAAATTATGCATGAGGGGGGAGAGTGGACAAAAAGAACCTTTTCTCCCAAAATACCAGAATGCAAGGTTATCCGATTAAGATGATGGGCAGTAGGTTCAGGATGGAGAAAAGGAAATACTACTTTACACGGAGAGTGATTTAAATGTGGAATTCACTGCCAGAGGATGTAGTGATGGCCACAGGAATAAACAGCTTTAAAAGGGAGTTAGATTCATGGAGGAGGAGTCTTATCCATGGCTACTAGCCATGGTGACCAGTGTTCCCTCTAAGCTGAGTTAGTGTGAGCTAGCTCATATTTTTTATAGTCTCCAGCTCACACGTTTTTGTCATAGGTCAGGAAGGACGGCCCCGGAGCAATCTGATTTATGCAGTAGCCAAATCAGCTGCTCACAACTTTAATGCCAGTCGCTCACAGAGTAGAATTTTTGCTCACAAGACTCCACAGCTGAGAGGGAACATTGATGGTGACTGAGGGGAACTTCCAAATTCAGAGGCAGTAATCCTCTAAACTATATGGACTATTGGTCTGATCCAGCAGGGCTCTTCTTATGTAATAAAATGTGTTTGGAAGCTGTAGGGCTCTGTGTGTGTGTTTGATACTTGCCTCTTCTTCTTTTTTTTTTTTGACTTTTAATATTTTATTTTGTACTTGCCTCTTCTAAACTGAAAATGTTTGATTGAAAGGCCTTTTGTTAGGTGGCTAGAGCAATGGACACCTGATGTTGTTTTGCTTTTCTAGGGAAGTGTGCATTAATCAGGACAAGCGGATTCACCTCACTGTAGTATATTTTGGCCAAGAAGGGCTTTCTGAAGTCAAGAGCATCTTAGAGTCGGTCGCTAGGTGAGTTGAGAAAATCAAGCCTGACTATTTTTTAAAAAAACTTAGTGTGGAGTGTATGTGTGTAGTGGCAATTAGCTGCTTGGGTTTTTTATTAGTAGACTGGCAGGCCTGTGGCCAGAAATTGTCGGTGGGGGTGGGCACCAGGGAGGCACGACGTCACTTCCAACATCACCCCCCCCAAATAAATAAAATAATAAAATAAAAATAAATCAAATAAAATGGTGACAAGAGGAGCCAGAGAAAAGCCCCCCCCCCCAAAAAAAACCTACGGTCTCCTCTGTGCTCAGAGCCATGGTTGTTTGAAAGGACTTCCTTCTGCCCGTCCCGAGTCCACAGCCGAAGTCCTCTCCACAGTTGCCCCCTACCTCAACCTGACGGGTGAGCTAAGCAGGGGAATGGAAGCCGAGAGGAACCATCTACCGGGTGAGCTAAGCAGGGGAAAGGAAGCCGAGAGGCACCATCTACCGGGTGAGCTAAGCAGGGGAAAGGAAGCCGAGAGGCACCATCTACCGGGTGAGCTAAGCAGGGGAAAGGAAGCCGAGAGGCACCATCTACCGGGTGAGCTAAGCAGGGGAAAGGAAGCCGAGAGGCACCATCTACCGGGTGAGCTAAGCAGGGGAAAGGAAGCCGAGAGGCACCATCTACCGGGTGAGCTAAGCAGGGGAAAGGAAGCCGAGAGGCACCATCTACCGGGTGAGCTAAGCAGGGGAAAGGAAGCCGAGAGGCACCATCTACCGGGTGAGCTAAGCAGGGGAAAGGAAGCCGAGAGGCACCATCTACCGGGTGAGCTAAGCAGGGGAAAGGAAGCCGAGAGGCACCATCTACCGGGTGAGCTAAGCAGGGGAAAGGAAGCCGAGAGGCACCATCTACCGGGTGAGCTAAGCAGGGGAAAGGAAGCCGAGAGGCACCATCTACCGGGTGAGCTAAGCAGGGGAAAGGAAGCCGAGAGGCACCATCTACCGGGTGAGCTAAGCAGGGGAAAGGAAGCCGAGAGGCACCATCTACCGGGTGAGCTAAGCAGGGGAAAGGAAGCCGAGAGGCACCATCTACCGGGTGAGCTAAGCAGGGGAAAGGAAGCCGAGAGGCACCATCTACCGGGTGAGCTAAGCAGGGGAAAGGAAGCCGAGAGGCACCATCTACCGGGTGAGCTAAGCAGGGGAAAGGAAGCCGAGAGGCACCATCTACCGGGTGAGCTAAGCAGGGGAAAGGAAGCCGAGAGGCACCATCTACCGGGTGAGCTAAGCAGGGGAAAGGAAGCCGAGAGGCACCATCTACCGGGTGAGCTAAGCAGGGGAAAGGAAGCCGAGAGGAACCATCTACCTGGTGAGCTAAGCAGGGGAAAGGAAGCCGAGAGGCACCTGGGCAGGCCCGCCTCGGACCGTTACTGTGCCTGTGCAACCAGCCCTCCTACCCCCTCCCTGCTTTGCTTTGGAGAGCTGGAGTCCAGAGGCCAGCAAACTCCAATTAGGCTGCGAAAGGGCAGACATGACTTTTGCCACGTGCCCAGCAGCCATGGGCCTGGTTCTGCAGCTTTTCGGTCCGAGAACACCGGGGCTGGGCGGGCTTCGGCCTCAGCGTGCAGAAGCACCAGCAGGCTGCCGTGCTCAGTGCAGCAAGAGCCGTGGAGAATGGCCCACCCTGGCGCCTCACTCCCAGCTAGGGCAGGAGATCAAGGTGAGGGTGGCCTCGGGGTGGGGGACAGGGCAGGTTTGGAATGGGGTTTGTGCCCTCGGGAGCCCTGCCATTGCTACCAGCCTGGAGAAGAAGCTGGTTATATTAGCATAATTATGTTCCCAGGTAAGCGAGGAAAGATACAGTGCCTGGATGTGGGAAGGGTGGATGGAAATGAGCAAATGAGAAGTTTCAAAGGACCATGTAGATACCAGATATTACTAGAGATGTGAAGGCCCGGAAAAAAACCCCAGAAAAATTCGGGGGGAAACCGTTTCCCCCCACCCCCCGTTTTTTTCCTGAAACCTTTTTTGTTTTTTTCCGAAAAACTGGAAAAATTGAAAAAACAAAAAGAAAAAAATTGATTATGGAACGTTTTATTTTAACATGATGAATAAACTACTTTAAGACAAGGTGTTCAAATATTTTCCAAATCATTTCTAAAAAGTATGAATGGTATCGGATTGATCTAATTTCTGTGCACTGAGGACAAGCAAGTCCTAGGTTACAAACTGAACTCTCCCATGCAAGAACAAGATGCATTTCTTCCTTTAGGAGGTGCGATTGTCAGAAGAAAATTAAAAGGTTTCAGTTTTGTTTTTGCATGTGGGTGGGTATTCTGTTTGTAATAATTGTTTGGATACACTATCTTTTTAATATGCTAGTTGTGATAATTTCATGCCAAGTAAAAATGTCCATAGTCATATTTTATGTTCCTAAAGTAACAGAATGGCTTTCAATCTGGAAAAGACAAAAGAAGTGCTAATATACAATTTTTTTCAATTTTTCCGAAAATTTCCATATTTTTTTTTAAAAAAACACCCGGGTTTTTTTCCGAGCTTCAAAATTTCCAGAAATTTTACATCTCTAGATATTACCACATGTTTTATTGAGCTAGTAGCAAAAGGAAACTAGGTGTTAACTTTCAAATGGTTGACTTACTGTGCTTAGTCCTATAGTTCTCAGAACATCCTAGTGAGAAATAGCAGTCTGTTTTTTAGTATCCCATGTGGGCACCAATGTACCAGCCTCTGTTTGTGTTGTTTAGAACCAGTTTGTCAAATTCACCTTGAACATTTGTAGAATTTTGTTCACAGGTTCAGTTTAAGATGCATTAAATAAGACAACCTTTATTGAACCTAAGGGGTATTCTTCCCAGGTAGGAAATGTAGATGATCTAGTAGCATAATGGGAAACAGAGAATACTAAATATTGGAAGATATTTACATATCAAAATATATCTAAGCTAAACCCTGACCTGGATAGCCCAGGCAAGCCGGATCTCATCAGATCTTGGAAGCTAAGCAGGGTCGACTCTGGCAAGTCCTTGGATGGGAGACCTCCATGGAATACCAGCAGTCAGGAGGCGAGGGCAGGCTCTATTCAGCCACCTCTCTGAATACCCTCCAGGCCCCCAGTAGGGGTCAGTCACCAGAGGTTGCTATGACTTCCAGGTGCACACACATGCACACACATGTATATATGAAAATACAAATACAAACCAAAAAAAATCTAAGCTGGTAGGGGAATGGCATTATCTTGCCTAACAATTCACATTCAAATAAGTAGTAAACAAGATGCCATCACCTTGACACTCCTTAAATTAAAGGGGAAAATAACTCACCTGTTTTTCAGCTCCATAGCCTTATGCAGTTCTTTACTTGGACCAGCATAAAGTAACTTTCAGTATGCCAGCCTCAGATATAAATACCTTAGCCTGTTTAAGAACATAAAGAAGGGCTTAGGTAAACCATCTGCGGCAGGGGTCCTCAACCTTTCTGAGCCTGTTGGGCGCCTTTGGAATTCTGATACAGCGTGGTGGGAGAAGGCACAAAATGGCTGCCACAGAAGGCAAGGGCCGCCACGAAATGGCTGCTGCAGCTTACCTTCATTTCTGGGACAATCTTCCATTTTCAGCTGGGAGGAGGACTTTCCAGAAGAAAGGACAAGGAGTGCACACTGTCCCTGTTACTGGTTAAGGAGGTGGGACCTCCTACATAATGAACAGGTGTCTGACCATGCCAGTCCTTCCCCACATGTCAATTACACAAAACAGGATCACAGCATAATGAGTTACAAAGTAGAGAAAAATACAGTGGTTAATGGCTACCCCTTATATGCAATAATGTATCTAGAAATTATGTCTATAAATCAAACATACTTTTAACAACTCATATCCAAAAATTTAGTTGACAGTTTTATTGTCTGAGATAACTTGAAGATATACAGACCCTGTGGATGATGAAATTCCTTTAACGGTACTAAGCTTATCGGGTGTAAGGGAATTTTATCATCCACAGAGTCTGTATACCTTCAAGTTGTCTCAGTTTACTAATCGTAACACCAAAAGGGTGGTGTATATCATTTCGTGCCTTTGTAGATTACTCTGTAGGCAGTAGCATTAATTGGAATGGTGAAGTTATTTGGACAGATTTATCATTTGGTTTATGGGTTTGTGTGTATACAGCCAGTTGAACTATTTTTCCGCTGTAATTTTTTTGACTCTGTCTGCACTGTGAAAACATAAGCCTACTCTTGTTGAATTTTGCATAGGTCGTGAATCCGTTCATGATGTGCGGGCTTGTAAAAATTGTCAATTACATTTTTAGAGACGAGTTGTTAAAAAGTGTGTTTTGATTTATAGGTATAATTTCTAGATACATTATTGCATATGAGGGTGGCCATTAATCACGGTGTTTTTCTCTGTTTCGTAGTGCTTTCCCACACGGCGGCGTGCAGAAGTTCGGATGTGCTGGACCATGGCCATGCAAAGCTTATGTCGGGGCGGGGAGTCCCCCCCAACCTTTTTGAGCATCTTTGGAATTCTGAAACAGTGGAGGGCGCGGCCACAAAGTGATTGCTACACAATGGCTGCCCCACGAGGCAAAGGCAGTCACACAATAGCTGCCACCATTTACCTTCAGTCACATAGTGAGGCTACGTGTGCTGCTGTGGCAGCTGCCGCCAAAGCAAGGCTTTTAAAAAACCGCACAGCCAATCAAGATGCCTTGCTGGGCAAAAGGCCCACCTTGCCCCCACCCACTTTCTGAAAAAACACTTGGGCACCACAGAACGTGGCACTTACAAGCACCACGGGGGAGGGGGGGCTTACGGGGATGCATCTTATCCGCAAGCTGATGTGCCAGGGGCCGTAGGGGAGAAAAGTTATTCATTTCTCTCTCCTTCTTCTTTCTAGAGAGACTAACTTCCACAATTACACACTTGTGTCCTTGAACGAAGAGTTCAATCGTGGCCGAGGGCTAGATGTGGGTGCCAGAGCCTGGGAGAAAGGCGAGGTCTTGATGTTCTTCTGCGATGTCGATATTTATTTCACGGCCGAGTTCTTAAACAGCTGTCGCCTGAACGCCGAGCCAGGTATGTCGGTTTTTCAGATCCTGGACTCAGCAGGGGCCGCTTGGCTGCCTTCCAAAAGGCGGCGGTGTGGGCGGGCGGCTGCCAGTGGCCCTGCCGCGCCACCGTTCCGCCCCGTGCCCCTGCCTACCCAAAGCTGCTACTTCCTGTCCACGGAAGAAGACGTGCTACCAGACAGAATATTGTAATGGGGATATCTGTGTTTCTGTGCCTAGAAAGACCGAATTCCGGGGACAAATGGGGGTACGCCGATGCCCTTGCATCTTCCTTATAAACGTCCCAGAGACATTTGGCCTGTCAAAGAGAATGGTGGACTAGACAGGATCAAGTATGGAGAAGATGTGGCTCAGTGGAAGAGCCTCCACTTTGCATGCACGAGGTCCCGGGGTCAGTCCCTGGCATCTCCAGTTAAAAGGACCAGGCAGTACATGATGTGAAAGACCTTGAGACCCTGGAGAGGAGCTGCCGGTCTGAGCAGGCAATACTGACATTAGTGGACCAAAGGGTCTGGACTCAGTACGCCAGCTTCGCGGTTATTCATGCGTAAGTGATTTTTGCCCGGATCTGTGAATTGAAGCACAAGTGGCGTTCGAGCCCCAAACACCAACTATGCTTGCCTGCCACGGGTCGGCTGACCATGTCCCACAGCATCACGTCTGGCCCTATGCACAGAACACCCCCCCCCCACGCTGTTATAGTTGCACGGTGCGGACTTTTTTGAGTGGTTGTCTTTCGAAGGACGGAGCTGCGGTGGCTCAAGTGGTTAAGACGCTGAACTGCAGGCTGTGGAAGGTCGGTAGTTCAGCAGTTCGAGACCCGAGTGCGCCGCATGACGGAGTGAGCTCCCGTCTCTAATTACAGCTCCTGCCAACCTAGTAGTTCGAAAGCAAGAAATTGCAAGTAGATAAACAGGTACCCCTTCGGTGGGAAGGGAACAGCGTTCCGTGCGCCTTGGTGTTAGTCATGCCGGCCACATGACCACGGAAACGTCTTCGGACAGCGCTGGCTCTTCGGCTTGGAAACGGAGATGAGCACCGCAACCCTAGAGTCGGACTCGACTGGCTTTCGAGCAAGGGAGACCTTTACCTTTACTTTACCTTTAGAAGGCAAGCTTAGCGCTTCTGTTCTTAAACACTGATTAATAAAAAGAGGGCACTGACGTGTCTCGGTCGGTAAGATTCAGCTAATCACTCAAAGGAATTATCAAATTGCCCTGACCTGGACGGCCCGGGCTCGCCTGATCTCATCAGATCTCGGAAGCTAAGCTGGGTCAGCCATGGAGGTTACTTGGATGGGAGACCACCGAGGAAGTCCAGGGTTGGTGTGCAGAGCCAGGCAAGGGCAAACCAGCTCTGATCATCTCTTCAAAACCCCACAGGGGTTTATTTGTTTATTTATTTGTTAAGCTTTTATCTCGCCCTCAGGGCGGCTAGGTAACGGTAAAGGTCCCCTTGCTTGAAAGCCAGTTGAGTCCGACTCTAGGGTTGCGGTGCTCATCTCCGTTTCAAAGCCGAAGAGCCAGCGCTGTCTGAAGACGTTTTCCGTGGTCATGTGGCCGGCGTGACTAAACACCTTAGCGTCTTAACTACTTGAGCCACCGCAGCGCCATCCAGGGCGGCTAACAACAGGTAAAATTCCAAAATACATATAAGTAATAAATACAACATTGAAATACTATGCTAGGCCTAATATGCGAATGAGCTGTGCTGTCAGGGGTGTGGCCTAATATGCTAATGAGTTCCTGCTGTTGGGTGTGGCCCATTATGCTAATGAGTCCCTGCTGGGCTTTTTCTACAAAAAGAGCCCTGCATATAAGTAATAAATACAACATTGAAATACTATGTTAAGACCAGATATAATAATAAAATGCTAATCTTATGCGTTGGTATCACTGGTCTTCAGATGTCATAAAGGGGGGGCATTGGCTCGGGCAGTTATTAGGGGTCCAGCGGGTCAGGGCTCTTCGCCATACGATGTCAGTTGGCATTCCCGATGGTAATAGCAGTGGGGTTGGGGGTGGTTGCTCCAAAGGCCTGGCGGAAGAGCTCCGTTTTACAGGCCCTGCAGAACTGTAGAAGGTCCCGCAGGGCCCTGGTCTCTGGGAGCTCATTCCACCAGAGTGGAGCCACCACCGAAAAAGCCCCGGCCCTGGTCGTCGCCAGCCTGGCCTCCTTCACACTTAGGAGGACCAGTCGGTTCTAGATCCCCGATCACAGCGCTCTCTGGGGTCCATATGGGGAAAGGCAGTCCCTCAGGCGGGTTGCCATAAGTTGGCTGGGTCTTGACGGCACTTCCCACCACCAATGACCAAACTAGGTTAAGTGCGTTGGTGTGTGTGTGTGTGTGTGTGTGTGTGTGTATGTGTGGTGGCTGGCAGAGGCCAGAATGAGAGGCGCCAGGAGCCCCAGTGTCTCAGAGGGTGGGCAGGATTCAAGAAGGACGAACTTTGTGTGGGTGACTGTTCTACCCAAACTGGACCCAGGGAAGGGGAAATTAGTTTTAAAGGGGGTTCCAGATAAGGAAAAACGCCGGATCCTGTAAGCTTGTGTACGCCAGGGTGGATCTCAGTCGGGCTACCCCTGAAATGAAATTACGAAGAAAGGGAGTGAGAGAGAGTGATTGTAACGAGCAACTTTATTGCATACAAAATAAATGTAAAGAACTTACACTGGGCCCCGGGAAGTAACCCCCAAAGTAACTGCCCACGCACAGACACACCAGCAAGAGGGCACACTTATGAAAGGAAGGAGGGAGAGAACTGAGAAGTTTTAGGAAAGGGACGTACGACCTCAAATTGTGGGCTTGGGGTCTGGAGCAATGCCTCCCTCTAAGCTGTGGAGTCTTGTGAACAACAATTCTACTTTGTGAGCCACTGGCATTAAAGTTGTGAGCGAGCGATTTGGCTGCCACATAAATTAGTTTGCTCTGGAGCCCTCCTTCCTGAACGAAGACAAAAAATGTGTGAGCCGGAGGCTAGAAAACGGTGAGCTAGCTCGCACTAACTCAGCTTAGAAGGGAGCACTGGTCTGGAGGGGTCCAGGGGCAAACATAGCTGAGGTCCAGGGAGTTAAGCGAGGAGCTGGCTAAGCCAGGAGACGAAGCCTGCGTGGCGCAGCAGGAAACCAGCGTTCTGACTAGCAGATGTCTGGACCAGGGATCTGAGGAACAGTTTTCTGTGGCATGGGATTCTTCTTTTAGGGACAGAAGATCCCCAGGGTAGGTGGGACTTGGGCCACCCTTCCTTTGGATTGGGTCAAGATAAAAAAAGTTTGAATCTCACCAGCTGGTGTAAAGTTAACTGCTGTGAGCCAGACCCGCATGGGCACCAAGAGCCGGAGTCAGGCAGCGTGATCCACACACTTTAATTGGGTCGAGGTGAGCCAGGTCTGCCTTGACACAAAATTCTGGGTGGGTCAAAAGAGCTCCTGGAACTGGATAGAGCATAAATCAATGGCTTACGTGTCCTTCTTGGATGAGTTTTTTAAAAAAAGAAAGGAAAAAGAGAAACCGGGCGTTGGTTAATGTAATAGCAACTTCCTTGGCCTGGGTAGAAGCTGTGGAGTCTTGTGAGCAAAAATTCCACTTCGTGAGCTGCTGGCATGAAAGTCTTGAGTGGGTGATTTGGCCACTGCATAAATTAGTTTGCTCTGGAGCTCTCCTCCCTGAGCGAAGGCAAAAATCTGTGAACCGGAGGCTAAAAAAAAAACCTCTGAGCTAGCTCACACTAACTCAGCTTAGAGGCAACACTGATCCCAGGCTTTTCTAGTGTTGAAAAGTCTTTTGTTATTAAGAATGAAATGAAGTCTTATAGAGAAGTCTTACTGAGAACCCCGAGCACTTAATCAGTTTGTAAGGCCGGCACGCCTTTCCTTTTCTTCCCTGGGATTTTGCACTGCCATGCCTGTAGACCCAGGTGCCTTTAGGAGACTCCCCAAGTTTTGCATCTCCTTGGCACTTAGGCTGTAAAAGGGGGTGCCTGTTTAAACAACGAAGTCCAAAATAAGAAGTGGACCCTACTAACCAAGGGGGTCTTAGCTGGAAGAGTGGGTGGGGTCCTCACAGACGCACAGTTCAAACTTGGAGCAATCTTGTAGAGGCCTTTTCTTTTTGGAAAGGGTATTTGGCTTCTAGAACATGGTGGTCTTCAGAAACAGTTCTCATACTGGGTAACAGGAAGCAAAGACCTGAACAATACTTGCCCCTGTAACAGAATGTGTTGGCCAGGCACTTTTTAGTGTTGTTGAACCTTAGGTTTTGCATGGGAGCTTGCAGAAGTTTGGAGTTCTGCAAAGACGAACAGGCCTAATAGCCAAGTACACCTGAAAACGGCGGGGGGGCGGAGGAGGTGGGTGGGGAAGACCTGCTTGCAAAAAATTACTTTCAGGGAAGCTTCAAGGGCACACTGTGAAAATGAAGTCAAGCCCCCCCATATTAGCAGAGGAGACCAACAGAGGCAACATCAGAGGTGACTGTCAGTCGTCAAGACTCCTGTCTCCCAAAGGTCATCGGGTATAGGCCAAACTGGCCATTTGACTTGGCACACTTGTGGAAATGCTGAACGGGAACTCCATAGTAGGATGGTTAAATTTGGTGTAGTGGTCAAGTGCGCGGACTCTAATCTGGGAGAACCGGGTTTGATTCCCGACTCCTCCACTTGCACCTGCTGGTGTGACCTTGGGTCAGTCACAAGCTCTGGCACAGCTGTCCTTGAAAAAGAGCAGTTTGTGTCTGAGCTCTCTCAGCCCCGCCCACCTCACGGGGTGTCTGTTGTGGGGAGGGGAAGGGAAAGGAGTTTGTAAGCCGCTCTGAGACTCCAAGTGAAGGGCGGGGTATAAATCCAATCGGGCTCCCTGAAGGGCGGATCACCTGCCGGGTCTTTTGACATTAATCATCGACAAGAATCAATTAGCCGTTTCAGTCGTTTCCTGTCCGAGAGGCACAGTTGACTTTTCTGCTCAGAAATGTGCTACGCTGAATTAACCCCTCTCTCATGTCTCCGTAGGGAAGAAAGTTTTCTATCCTGTCGTGTTCAGCCTTTATAATCCTGCCATTGTGTATGCTAATCAAGATGTGCCACCCCCTGTGGAGCAGCAGTTGGTAAGCGGCTGGAATCTAAAGAAGCTATATAATAGACCTTTCCTTTAAGCTTTGGTATATTAAAAGTTATCGCTAGTATCTAGAAACCTTGAAATGCATGACATAGAATATGCAATAATGAGGAAATTAATAATATAGTTGTAAAATAGATTAGTTATGAAATTTGAAATTCAAAATGTTTGAAGTAAGAACCATAGTGTCCCATAGAAAATGCCTTAAAGACTATAACGAAGGGGATGTTAGGGAGAAATATTTACTTTATTGCAGTGTATAATAATCTTGATACATATAATCTGTTATATAACCCCTCTTTTTCTTTTGTATCCCCTTTGTATTATACCTTGCTCTAGTGGTTAAGTGTGCAGACTCTAATCTGGGAGAACCGGGTTTGATTCCCCAGTCCTCCACTTGCACCTGCTGGATGACCTTGGGCAAGCCATAGTTCTGTCAGAGCTGTTCTTGAAAAAGAGCAGTTCCTGTCAGAGCTCTCTCAGCCCCACCTACCTCCCAGGGTGTCTGTTGTGGGGAGGGGAAGGGAAAAGAGATTGTAAGCCACTCTGAGACTCCCTTGGGTAGTGAAGGGCGGGGTATAAATCCAATCTCTTCTCTCTCTTCTTCTCTCTAAGATTTTATATATATGGGGGGGGGAAAGAATCTTGTTCTCCATGTTAGGGCGTTCAGCACAGGGGAGCTAGATGGTTTGTAAAGAGGAAGCAGTAGGAACCAGTGTTCCCTCTAAGCTGAGTTAGTGTGAGCTAGCACACAGTTTTTATTTATTTATTTATTTATTATTTCAATTTATAGCCCTCCCTCCCCGCGAGCAAGCTCAAGGCGGCTTACAACGTTGGCACAAAATATCAATGAAACCATATAAAATCATTTTAAAACAAAGCAATACAGATGAAACTCATAAAATCATAAGGTGCTAGTGATCGTTCAGTTCGTTGCTTGTGATGGCGGGCTAAGGATGTTTACAAGCTGACAGTTCCAGCTCAGTGGTCTTACTGAGTCACTTGATGGAATGAGCCAGATGTTAAGGCTGAGGGCCGGGCTCGTTGATGGTAATAGTCAGGGCGGCTCCTTAGTTGAAAGCCTGGTGGAAGAGCTCCGTCTTGCAGGCCCTGCAGAACTGTAAAAGATCCCGCAGGGCCCTGATCTCTTCCGGGAGCTCATTCCACCAGTATGGAGCCGCCACTGAAAAGGCCCTGGCCCTGTGGCAGCGAGCCTGGCATCCTTGGGGCCCAGGTCAATCGGTTCTGTGACCCCGACCACAGTGCTCTCTGGGGTATATATGGGGAAAGGCGGTCCCTCAGGTATGTCGGACCCTGGCCATATAGGGCTTTAAAGGTAAGCACCAGCACCTTGAAGCGAATTCGGTATGCTATTGGCAGCCAGTGCAGTGCCTTCAGCGCAGGCTGGATGTGCTCCCAGCTAGGTAGGCCCATCAACAGCCTGGCCGCGGCATTCTGCACTACCCGCAGCTTCCGAATTTGCGACAAGGGCAGCCCCATGTAGAGAGCGTTACAGTAGTCTAGTCTCGAGGTGACTATCGTGTGGATCACTGTGGCCAGGTCATTGGGGTCGAGGAAGGGAACCAATTGCCTAATCAGCTGAAGATGGTAAAAGGCTGACTTAGCAGTGGCTGCTACCTAGGCCTTCATTGTTAAGAAGGAATCTAGGAGCACTCCCAGACTCATAACCTCCGGCGCTGGCACCATTGGTGCACTGCCACAGTGCCACTTGTTCTGGAGTGTGCCACTTGTTCTCATGGCAAACAAGCACCTCCCAAGACAGTTCACTTTCCCTGAGATTCTCTGGGAGAGTCTGACTGCTGGGTGCTGCCTGCTTGCCTGCCTTAAGTGCTGCTGGCTGGGTTTTCCCCATTGGAAACAGTGGAGGTAATGGGGGTAAGCTCTTTGGGTGCCCATAGAATTGGTCCCACTGGTCCAATTGCTTTGGGACATGGGGGTTTATGTGCAGAGAGGCTCCCGAAGCTACTCTGAAAATTTGGAGCCTCTCCCTGAAACCCCCTCCCTCCCAGAGCCACTAACAGCACCGTGGGGAAAAAGGAATATTTGTTCCCACCATAGAGAACAGTGGAGGGGATGGGGGCAACCTGTTTGGGGGCCGTTAGAATTGGACCCCCTGGTCCAATGATCTTGAATCCTGATGGGTATCTTGGGGAGAGGCTTCAGCAGCTATCCGGCGAGTTTGGAGCCTCTCCCTCAAACCCCCTCCCCTCCAGCCCCCAGAATATACCCTATGTTTTCGCCATTGACTTCAATGGCCAATAGGATATAATGGGGCTGAAATTGACATTCGGCTGGCCAAAAGACTCCTGAATCGGCTCCTACTGAGGAAACTGACATGCAGGAGTCTTACTGCCGGCCGAAATTGATTCTGCCCGATTCAGCCAAATCCGAATCGGGCTGAATTTTTTTATTTTTTTTTTGCTCACCCCTACCTCTTAGCCACACACACACACAAATACCAAAAAAAGTGAATAAAATTTTAAACAAGCCTCTTGGGGGTGCGGGGGGAAGCCTTGAAAGAAGATACCATGGGGAGCTTTTGCTTTTTCCCCCTTTAAACCACAGCTTAATCAGCAGCCTCCTTGCCTTGCCTGGTGCAGACAACGAGTGGGAGTGATTTCATACACATCGCCTTAGTCTTTCTCAGGCTGGAACCAGACATGAAGATATTCACATTCCTGCCAGAAAACCAAGCCGCTCGGCTGAAGTTGTTCTGAGAAGCAACCCCACCGTTGTTGTTTTTTTAAACGTGTCTAGTCCCACCCTCCGTGCTGTCAAGACGTTGCAGTGAATAGGTTAAGGAATGGAGCCTTAATTTCCAGCTGAGACCTGACAAGAGAGTAGGCTAGAGGTGCAGAGGTTCCAGGTAGCTGAGTGGCTTCAAAAGGGAAATCCCAAAATAAAAGTCACAAAGGCCCCGGTCACACGGAGCATTAGGCACGCTAGAGAGATGGAAGATAGGTGGATTTTCCGGGCGCGATCTCACCGCCACATCTGGGAAGCGTAGAGCTCCCGTGGCTCACCCGAGGCTTCACTCCGAAGATGCGCTGTAAAAAACTAGTACCTCCAAGGTACTAGTTTCCGGAAACCGTGGGGCAAGGGCGGGCGTCAGATCACGTTTCCGGTGTTAGCTCGTGGCATCCGGTGCCTGCCCATGTCCCGTCGCGAAAACTTTTTTTTTGTCAAGTCTCCACTGGTGCGCACAAGCACCCAAGGGCACCTGCGAACACTTGGGTTAAAAAAACAACAACACAACCCCCGCGGCGTCGCTTCTTTGCTGTGCCGCAGGAGTGAGGTATGATCGGCACCTCCCCCCAACCACGGGACGTCGGGCGGGACGTTTGATCTGGCTGCCGCGCGGTAGTTCGCTCCGGGGCAAACAGCCACGCCTCCCCTCCCCCGCGATATCCAGCCCGTGTGACCGGGGCCAAAGTTTTTTTTTTTTATTGACCCAAGTGAAGTGACACACAAGCCTGAGCTTTCAAGACCTGGGAACTCAATTTTATCAGGCATGACGCCAAAAGAGCGGGAGGGAGGGGAGAAAAGGATGTTTCAGGCGGCAAACCCCTTGTCTGTTGCCGGTAGAACGCCAAACAGACCTCACTCTCTTCAGCCAGAAGGGAAAGATTTTTAAATTCCTCTGATAAATACAAGTAAATGATTCCATGGGAACCAGAGTGCGGGTAGAAGCTGCCAGGTTGTACAACTGGGGCTTCTGGGAAGAAATATTTAAGACGGCAATATGACCCTCTGTTGCTTATGTAAAAACCAGTGATTGAATAAATACCTGAATGTCTGCCGGTCCCCTAGAAGACTGACAACAGAGGGAGGGAGTGGGGGGGGGGTTGTGTTGTGGGAGTGGGGCCTCAACTGAGAGTTCCT